TTGTATAGATAAATAATTATTAAACGAACACAAGTACTTTTGGTATTTGTGGTTTACAAATGACATGCGTTTCTACTTGAATAGCTAAATGATATATTTATCAAGGATTTTTTAAATGCGGAACCCAATCATAATTTCCATACGTTGAAAGCATTTATTGTGTAATACAATAGTGTATAGTTAACTAATTTATTATTTAGGAACTGTATATCTCATTCTAATAAAAAATCATATGTGTGTAAAATGGCAAAATGAGTATGTATGGGTGGTTTTGCCATCTGTACGATCAATCAATATCTCGCATATGTATGCTTTTGTGTAAAACGAAATACTTATGGACTTTATTTTATTATCTTAATGCAAGTCAGACCGAATGAGTTATATCCATTCAAATGTGAAATATCACATTTCCATGCGAGTATGTCTTTGTCAATCGGTTCGTTTTGTTGATCAGTGAGATATATATCTTTTAAACAATAACATGGAAGTAGTATGTGGCCTATATTTATGCACAACAAGTTCGATAGTAAAGGCAACAAAGCCTACGAAAATTCCGATGACACATACACAAAAGGCACTTTGCACATCCATTAAAGAAAGAAATCGGCTTTGATTCTGGAATTTGATTTCCCTTGCAACAATTTGATTTTGGCCACCATTTCCTTTTCCAAATTTGGAACAATCCACCTTCGTGTATTTTCAGCATTCTAAAGGAAAATTCATTCAAAAAGCTTATAACATGATTTACAAGAATCACAAAATAGGATGTATGAACACATGTTGTTTTCAGCGCTGTGCTATCAATCAAAATACACAAATAAAAGAAAATCGTTAATATGCATTTTATTTATATTTTCTCTGTTATTTGATCTATATTTAGCTTCATTATAAAAGTGAAATATTTAGGCTTAACAACACTAAAGAATCCCTTCCTGAAATCCAAATATTACTACCAGAGTGTTAAGTGTCTTCCTCATAGGTTAAGTGTCTTCCTCATAGATACTTAGTCTTGCCAATTTCAGGGGTTTAATCATACAACCATGCAGCAATTTGCAGATTATAACTTAAGGTAGACCATGGGTATGGGCACTATAAGGAACTGCAAAATTGACAACATAGGACAGTTATGGGCCTTAAAGGTCATATGTATGCAAAACTTAAATAAAATTTACCGTCTGGTTTATGAGTTATGGATATATTTCTGAACAAAAACTTTGCTATTAGAAGGTCTTTTTTTCAGAAATGAGGAAACTCTTAATAGTCTGTAATATCATCCTTATGAAAACTGTTTTCCTTTTGATCATTGTTAAGAAACAAATAATAACATTCAGGTAACAAATTACAATAACAAATTGTTGTTTATATGCAAACCATATACAGTTCAAATAATAGGGGCGACAGGTCATGTCGTAAACACATTTTAGCAAAATGCAAACTATTCAAAGAAATATCTTACTGCTCTGAGAAAATCGCGGTATGTGGCGAATTCTTCGTAAAGCCAAAAACATAGATCATCGGCATAAACTCTTCCTTTATTGAAAGAAGGCTGCATTCTCTAGCCATGTAAATTTCCATGTATAACCAATTCAAACTTGTAGATGATATGCTGATCTTGGTCTCGTGACAGATGATTTTCTTAGTCTAACGGTATTAACACGATGTTGAACACTTGATTTTTTAGTCCGTAAACGATTCTGTTTTTGTTGTTGTTGTTGTTATTTTTGCTGTACAGCTGCATGATGTCTGGAATAATTTTTTTCTAGGTCAGCAATAACGGCATCAATATCCTTGTGGTGTCACTTTCGCCTTTTGATATCACTAAAGAACATTGTAGAATTGCATAAATATAATAGGTATATTAGTGTCTTTCTTATATCTTTCGATGTCGTTAGCATTGTTTTGTTGAAGTTTTGCTAATTTTAAAATTGCAGTTTGTAGGCTTCCTTTGGTGAACCAATCACACGCGAATCTTATAAGGTCTTGAAACATATCGCACATTTAAAATCATCGAATCTTACACCAGTGAAGACAAGCCAACCTTCTGCCCTTATTTTGTTGTCCATTTTGTTTAAAACGTGCTATATTAACAATGAAATTACTGTTATATAAAGTCATGCAACAAATTTTACCTATCTAATTTGTGTACTTTTTTACTTTTATCTACAAACGAAGCTCTTAAAAAACATACGTAACCGTATCATCGTTTTGACACTTCAATACACTTAGCTGGTAATCGAATATTGTTTTATAAACATTATGGTTTGTTTCCGTAAACTGAGGACACCTTTGATCGGAGAATAGCGTTTAAAAATATAAAGAATGTTGTTGTTTTTTTCAAATATCATGTGTAATTTTGTAACTTATTATCATAACTATTATATTCTGTAAGCATTTGTAAGCATTTGTACAGTCACAGGTAATGTACACAATCAACCTTGACAATTGTTCTCTATAACAGTTGAATATCCGAAGTACAAATATTTTTTCTCCCTGTTCTTGATATGTGCTCCTTGCTTAATAATTAAGTTGCATATTTTTGTGGAAAAGTAGAACCTAATGCATACATTCACAAAGTATTGTCATGTTCTGTTATTTTACAAATATCAAAAATATGTCTGTAACATCAAATAAGAGTTATGAATAAATTGTTAAATACAATTTATTCTTAGTTGCGTATTGTTTACTCATTAATAAATATTAAACTACTTGATTAAACACATTGTTATATATATATTGACTGTTTTGTCAAATATATTTCCGTTGCGCCCGTAGCTCCAAAAAAATTCCGTTGCGCATTGTAGTCATTCTTCTTGTTTCCTGTCCGAATTTGGTTCCCGTCATTTTAATATAGACTGGCTCATTGGCACGTTATTGATAAGGTTAAACAAATATTATAGATAATGATTAAAAATAATATGATATTCAAACATAGTACAATCTCTTCAGTTAAACGTTTATTTAAAATCCTTAAAGCTCGGTGACATGTTGTACACCAGAAAAGCTATTTGTAAGAGACAATTTGAAAACAGAGTGATTTTGTTAAAACAAAAAAAAATACATAAAAGCAAGAACAAAATTGTTCCCAAATGCATATCTAATAGACGCGGCGCTTGATAAATTTATCATTACGGTGTCTATTATCCTGTTGCCTCCCTGGTTGCTTTAGATCAGTCTGAATGCACATGTTAAAAAATCTTAGAAATAGCAATAACAAAGCAACTGTTGAAAATCGATTATCTAGTAAACTAAAGTGAGAAATGTCATTATAATTCTCCTACTAAATGCATTTATCATAAAAACGCGTTTCAGGATATACCGACAAAACGGGAAAACCTTTCAAATCAGCTGTCTTCGTTTGAACAGATACTGAAATGATGGTTCAATTTGATGAACTACAAACACAAATCATGGACATACACTAAAAACCTGATTTTACTTATTATGTACTTTAATGCAATAATAATGTGAGAAAATGTATTACTGATGGAAATGAAAACAGACGAATGAATTGCGTTACATTTTCGTTTTAACCATTTAAAGATCAATAATTTATTGTATGACATGTGAAACATTAAACAATATGAAAATTTTAATTTTAATTTAATCCCCCATAAGGCATCTTATCTAATATACTAAACAAAGCACGCATGCACGCTTTTTTGTATAGGGAGGAGTTTTGAAATTTAGAGAGAAGTGATCATCAAGATCAAACTATAACATTCGTTTGCACTGTTTTCTTTTCATTAAATAATAATTACAAGTAACAAGTAGGTCTGTACATGCATATAAAGCAAACATGTTTATGGCATATGCATGCAAATAAGATATACTATGCTCAAATTTGATTTTTAAAAATATTAATAATTGCTACACAGTCTCTTTGTATGTATAAAATAAACATGTTTCAAATTCATTTAAGGTAGATATGATATGTTTTGAACTCTACACACTATATGTGGTCATCATATGAATATTTAGTGTCCTTAAAAAACTGACATTTTTGTTTAAGAAAAGACCAATTTTACTTGACACGTAATAGACATGCAACTTCCATACATAGTTTATTTATTATTTTATTCAAATTAAACAAATTTCATGAATTTCAATGCCTTTCTAAGATAAAAATATTTTACCAAAAGATGAACATAGTATATCTTTAAACATCGTTTCCTGATGTAATAAATAAAAAAAATGTGCCACTCTTGACCAATTTGATTTTGTAAATGCTCACTAATGAACACTAACCTTCATGTTTACTTAATGATGAATGATTTTGTAATAAAAAAATTATACAGTTACGTACAGTAATTATTTAGTTCGTTATTAACGAGTGATTAACAACAACAAACTTGCAAAAATTACACACATTAATATTCGTAGGATTTAACTAAATCATCAATTTGCTTGCTAGACATATACTCATATACAGCAATTCTGTAACGCATCAATAGGGTAAAAAAACGAACAAACAAAAATGTTAAGTGTTTTCTTTTCAATAATGATTATCAATGACAAATTCTAATAAATCAAAACAAAAATACATTATCATTAAAATTTATTAGTGGAATAATTGCCTGACAGTCGACGATATCGAATTCATGAAAAAAAATTGAAACATGCAAAGGAAAATAATAGTGCTGGGGAATAGACCAAGCCACTTTGTTATTGATTGTATAATCATTTTTAAACCATCATTTATCACTGTTTTTCATTCACAAGTCATTGTTTATCATTCAGTTCATCATACATAAATCAACAAATCAATTTCAAGTTCGACTCTTACACAACAAGTCCAATGGCAGATTGAATGACCAATCGCCGAATTAATGATTACTGCTAGATCTAACTGTTGGGGTTCAATCACAAACAGTATTTAACACAATGTTTTATATCTTTCTTTAACTTAAATTGAATTATTTTTAGTTAATAAAACACTGCGTCGAAAAATTCTGCCATGGACAATCCTCAATTTTCTAATGTCGACTGTCGACGAACTGGAGTTAGTAAACTATTTCATTTGTTGGTCGTAAGGTGCCACTCACAAGTAACTGCAAATATAAAGAAAACAAGAGCAGAAACAGATATATAGTATACATTGTATAAATTCTTAATTTTCTATTTGATAACTATGGGTAGGGTGGGCGGGTTCAACTTCGATTCACATTAAAAAGAGACTGGACCATGTGCTCCGGAATATATGACGTAGACGACTGATGACGTAAGCGCTAGCATTAACTGTGACCTTTCAACTTAAGTCCGGAATATATGACGTAGACGACTGATGACGTAAGCGCTAGCATTAACTGCGACCTTTCAACTAAAGGGGAGACATAATCTGAGCTGCGTGTAATAAGACCTTACGACTTATCTCCCTTATAATGAAAGAATTGTCTAGATAAACTGCATTATCACATTAACACGGATAATGCTTATTATCAATGACAAATTCTAATAAATCAAAACAAAATTACATTATCATTAAAATTTATTAGTGGAATAATTGCCTGACAGTCGACGATATCGAATTCATGAAAAAAATTGAAACATGCAAAGGAAAATAATAGTGCTGGGGAATAGACCAAGCCACTTTGTTATTGATTGTATAATCATTATTAAACCATCATTTATCACTGTTTTTCATTCACAAGTCATTGTTTATCATTCAGTTCATCATACATAAATCAACAAATCAATTTCAAGTTCGACTCGTACACAACAAGTCCAATGGCAGATTGAATGACCAATCGCCGAATTAATGATTACTGCTAGATCTAACTGTTGGGGTTCAATCACAAACAGTATTTAACACAATGTTTTATATCTTTCTTTAACTTAAATTGAATTATTTTTAGTTAATAAAACACTGCGTCGAAAAATTCTGCCAATGAGTACGCAGTGCTCACGCCAAATTTATTTTTTCGCCGCTGTCAGGCTTTTAGTTATTCAGTCAATTGGATATACGTTTGCATTATTAGTCAAAAATGTTTCAATAGCACCTGGAATTGTGTTTAAAAATATATCATTTCCAATATAAGACAAATGTACACCATCATCAGAAAATAATGCTGGCATTTTATCTTGAAAATCTGGATGTTTTATACACTTATGACCAAGCTTGGCTAGAAAATATATCAATGCTCTATTTATTCTTTTCCGATTTTCATCCATAGCTTTATTATTTTCGGAGTACCTCCAGACAAAACGAGGTAATATCGAGGACCAAACAATACAGGCCCTAGGCAAAATTCTCATTATCTGAGAAATAACTTCTTTAAAATGGTGTCTTATTTAAAACACCACATGGTTTTAGACCTATATCATTGCAACCAAAGTGTAAAACAATAAAACTTGGTGGTGGCAAACAAAAAGACATTGAGTAAATAATATTGTAAAGTTGCCTATAATGTAAGCCCGGATGGCCAGCCCAAAATACAGTCACACCGCGTCGCTGAAGACCAAGGTGACGTCCCATCGGCCTCGTTTTAGCATGTGCCTCTGCTCTCTTAATGATTGAAGACCCTACGATCCAAATATTTTGACAAGGCTGGCCAACGTTATCTAAAAATAAAATTTTTATGGAATTATCTTATCTAACCTAATGTATCTCTTATAAGCCCTGGATTTCGAAGACCACCTACCCATTTGCATTATAATATCGTCAGAGATATTTAATTGAGAAGCTGTGGTAGCCGCGCCAATACGAAATGAATGGCTTTTTATATTTGAGTCAATGTTGAGGAAATTTAAACATTTGCGAAGCATGAAACGGAACTGATATTTAGTCATTGGTTGCCCACTGAAATGGCAAAATAGAGGACCGTCTATTTGAGGGCGTAAAGTAATGTAATGGCGAAGTAGTCTATAGGGACATATCTCAGGGTAATGTGATATACAAAATGTCAGTGTTACCGACGACCCAAACTGATCGGTTTTGGAAAATCTTATCGTTAAAAAACATTCGTTCTCCGAAAATCTAAGGTCTCCTAACTGAACGACTCTATTGGTGTCTGATTTCTTTGTGTCAACGGCTATTTCGCCTACCCGCAGAAAACCAAAAAATGCACAAACAAAGGCCGTTATGTACAATATTGATTCATAGTTTGAATATGCAACTTTCTGTAAAGCCATTGGGAAGCGAAGAAGCACCTGTAGCGTTATTGGAACACGCAAATCCTTTTTTGATCGGATGCGTCGCATTCCACATAACATCTTTTTTACTATAAATGATTGTGTATTATCCGGCATATCATTCATCTTTAAGAAAAACGAAATGCCGGATAAATAGGAGTTAACTGTAGCAAATGCGAACTTTTTGAGTGAGAGATAACCTATAAAATTAACCATATGATCCACCGGTGGGGGCCACACATCCGGTAGTTCATGCAAACAGCGAAAGTTCTTGAATGCATTTATAGCTTGGTTATAAATTTGTTTCGTTTTTTCCGAAACCGAGGAATTTAGTAGAACTGCTATTTCATCGGCAAGTACGTCATGAAGTCCCTCGGGATTGGTGTTGGGTGAACTTCCGCTTCCGGTGCTAACATTCGGAACGTCTTCCACTGCATTCGTGAAATTGAATCAACAATGTTATTGTTTACACCACTGATATGTACAGCATTTAATTGGAAATCAAATTTCAGAGACCATAACACTATTTGTCTAACAAGTGCCATTACTCTATTAGATTTCGAAGATTTTGAATTAAGTATATGTACTACTGCCATATTGTCGCAGCTAAACTGAATACGCATAGATCGAAAATGTTCGGACCATAAAAAACAAGCCAATGCTATTGGTATTATTTCCAAAAAGGTAATATCTTTAAGAATATCTGTATCTTTCCATTGTTGAGGCCATTGCATAAAAGCCCAACGACCATTAAAATAAATACCACAGCCCAAATTTGACTGCCCTGCGCTGTCAGTAAACAACTGTATGTCTGAATTCGATTTCCATTCAGTGTCTAACATTACCGAAGTGCCATTATAATTAGTCAAGAAAGTTTTCCACATATTTAAATCGCTTTTTAGACCATTTGACAAGCGGATTTTGTGGTACGGCTTTTTTGCTTGCGACATAGCTGAGTAAAGCCGGCGGATAAATGCACGTGCTGAGGGCATTGCTTTTGCGCAAAAGGCCAATGAACCAGTCAATGATTGTAATTGTTGCAACGTTATTTTTCGTAATAACAATGCATCATTAATTTGATGTAATAAATTCATAACTTTGTCCCGAGGTACGCGTATTTCCATTGAAATTGAATCAAGCTCTAAACCAAGGTAAAGTAAGCATGTCACGGGGCCGACAGTTTTATCACAAGCGATTGGTACACCAAATTCAGTACACATTGCTTCGAACTTTAACATGCTCAATTTACATTTATCAGAATTTGCAACAGACATGAAAATAAAATCATCAAGATAATGATCTATATCATTGTAACCAGTTCGGCGTTTGATTTCCCAATTTAGAAAAGATGAAAATTTTTCGAAAGTAGAACAGCTAATAGAACAGCCCATTGGCATGCATTTGTCAATATAATATTGACCATCCAGCATGATTCCTAACAGGTCAAAATCTCCAGGATAGCATGGTAAAATTCTGAAAGCATTTTTCAAATCCATTTTTCCCATTAATGTACCTTTACCTAGCCTTTTTATCATTTTTACAGCATTATCAAAATCCGAATATTTGACAGATGTTAACATTGGGTCAATATAATCATTAACACTATCGCTTGCGGGATGTGACATGTGTGTAATTAACCTAAATCCGCCGGATTTCTTTGGAACTAGCCCGATCGGGGAACATCTAAGATTTGATATAGGTCTTGTGGCGTAGGGGCCCGACATACGCCCAGCATCTATCTCGTCATAAATTTTTTGTTTTGCAATGTCAATATTATCAATGACTGACTTTAAATTTTTGCTGTCCCTATAAATTCTTGGACCTGCATAACCAAGAGGGAAACCATGCTGAAAACCGTGAATTAGAAATTTTGCATCATTTGCGTTTGTATATTTTTCGAGAAATGGTGAAATTTTATCCATTATTATTGGCGTTTTACCTTTGGCCCATAAATTGGGGTCGAAAGGCAGACTGAGAATATGACGGAGGAATTGGTCTAAAACCCCTAGGCCTTTGAAATGTATTTACATGCCGGGTTTGAAACACATTATTTGTTCCGCTAAGCGGCACATTTGTGCTGCCAAGCGGAACAAAGCGCGGTCGAGGAACATATTGTGCCCCTGACGCACTGCTATTAAATCTCATCGACTTCTGATTGGATGGATGAGGTAATTTGCATACAATACAGGTGTGCCTATACTGACAAAACATCTTATAACATCCGCCTTTGAAATTGTAATCATAACAAGGCCTGCAGAGGCATTTCTGTTTACCTCGTCACTAGTGGAAGGGTTATCGCCTAGCAACCCGCATGTAAGCCACAAATGACCATCAATATTGGACCACAGACGACTAGAGTTAATAGACATGCGAAGGCGAAATTGAATATCATATTGGTAACACTTCTGGAATTTATTAGATGCGGAAGCACCTCGAACAATTGCCATGTATTTCAAAAGTTCCGCTGCTCTTAATGGGTGTTTTTTAATGTAAACTAAAATGAAGTTTACAAAAGCATCAGTCCAATAATCAATATTATCAATTTGTTTTAGTTTTTTATTAGATTTCAATTCAAACTTATTATTTAATGAATATCCAGGTCATGAGTAGGTATTACCAAAATAGGGTCACACTCACCTTGGATATTGGAAGTTTCAGAAGGAGACAGCCTTTGAGAAACCATTGGAAACCCAATCACGTTATGCTCTTGCTGAAGCTCAGGAGCGGGGTTGCCAGCTACCTGACAGCCTGTGGGTAAATTGCCATCACCATGCTCAGTATCGGTAGGAACATGTGCTTCCGCATTGACAGCCACATTTTGTTCAGCTGTTGGTGTTGCTTTGCAAGTTTGTTTTCTTGGCCGCGCCGATTGACCTCTTGCCAATGACCTTGAGGAATGGCGTGGAAACGAAACGGGGTTTCCCTGTCTGTTAGATTTCGCCTTTGCCTTAGGCATCCTAGGAAATATAATTTAATAGTGAAAACAGTGTTTAATGATAAATTCACTGATATAAAGAGTAGAACTTTGTTTCACTTTATACAGTTACTGGTCTATCCGATGTCACCGTCTCCCACGGCCACACCTCGTGGTATGATTATAATTTATTTACTATACTATATTTATCCGGATATTATAAATCAAATATCAATTTTGTACATGAAATTTAACTATCTAATAATTGTGACAAATTTACTTATCTGATAAAGCTGTTGTTTGGTAAATATTCCTCCTTTTTGGATACGATTCAACTTCGATTCACATAAAAAAGAGACTGGACCATGTGCTCCGGAATATATGACGTAGACGACTGATGACGTAAGCGCTAGCATTAACTGTGACCTTTCAACTAAAGTCCGGAATATATGACGTAGACGACTGATGACGTAAGCGCTAGCATTAACTGCGACCTTTCAACTAAAGGGGAGACATAATCTGAGCTGCGTGTAATAAGACCTTACGACTTATCTCCCTTATAATGAAAGAATTGTCTAGATAAACTGCATTATCACATTAACACGGATAATGCTTATTATACGTTTTTACCTTCCAGACAGGGTTCAAGCTCTGTTACAGCAAGCTTTATCAATTGCAGACGCAATTAACCATATTTAGATACCCTTTTCAATGGTTAAATTAAACACGGGAGAACACAATTATGGATAAACATTGGTAATCACTTTTTCATTTTTGTCACTGATTTCAATGATAAACATGTGCGGGTTCCGTTTAAGTGTCAATGCATCAAGTCGAGTAGAATAATGCCATTTTGTATTACATGAACTATTAATCATTCATGTTTAAAGAATACAATTAGAATTTTACAACAGAGATTATCGATGAATAAATCTATTAAAGGAGTGTTTGTGACTGGCGCCAGTCATGAAAGAAAGATATGTTAGTAATGTTTCCAAAGTCAGAAGTCAGCGAAGGTATTTTAGTAACAATAACCTGATCATTACTAAATAACACATACCATCAATAAACTAAAGACTTTATCGATTTAACTTTGAAATAAGATATTTCTAGCTATTCAAATTAGCTTAGCCAAACAAATATTAAATTGCCTCATTTAAAAGAATATGTTTATTAGGTTAATATTTTACAAAATTTCGGTAAAATATTGACTCGTATAGATTGACTTTAAAGTGTACGAAATCAATTTTGTTTGAAACAAATAGGTGAGGTAACTGATTAGAAGATGTCTTTGTATTATTTTTTTGACAGAGAGATTGAATTAAGTGATTTAGAAGAGGTTGACTTGATTGAATTTTACCGGTTATTTGGGGCTTATTCTCATTGGGCTGTTTATGTTGGTAAATATATATTTTATTAAAAAATACGTAGAATGTATTTTATTGTTTTTTTATTATGTACTGGTATTTTTATATAATTAAACAGTAATAATGGTATGTTTGAAATGCTGAGATAAATGTTCTTGTATTAAGATTATTACCAATATCTTTAAAGATACTTTTATATTGATATTAATGCTTTTATCGGAATGATGTTTTTTAGAAAAATGTAGGTATTCATTTTACCCGACTCCCTTGTGTTTTTTTGTAGTTTTGATAACGTAGGAATAAATATATTTTATTATTTATAATTAAAAGCTCATCATGTCTTAAAAAACTCCTAGAAAGTAAACTGGTATTAAACATATTTCCAGTAACTGCCGGTATAGATTAGAAGATCATGATCGGGGTACAGTATGGCAATGAATTAAGAATTCATTCTCTCAAATCAACAACAATAATGAGAAATCACATTACATTAAAGATTACATACACTATCAATTTTGATTTTAAATACACCGTTACCTTGAATACTTTTTTGGAGTTGATTATCCATTTTTACTTGACCAGGCGGAGTACAATATTCATTTAATACGGATTGTTCAGGACTAATATTTATAAAATGACACAGGTTTTTTTGTGGAGATATGCTCTTATCGTGATTTATATCGAAAAAAAAAAACAACAAGTGGTGCAAAAGCTAAATGTTTATTTGTTACATTTTGTAAGGTGTGAAATGAATGTTTCTTTGATTAGACACATAATACATGTAATAGGAAATCCCAACCCAGAATAAACAGTTCCATCGCCGTACCTGATAAAACCGACATAAAATAGAAAGTATCATGCAATTCTCAATATCTGTTACAAGGAAATGGAAAAATCATTCATTTTTCACCGATGCCTGATGCTACGGGAAAGATTAATCTGACAGACCTCATTGGTGACTGGTTTGTCCGAATGGACGATATAAGAGCCATTGCAGGAAATTCAAGGACTTATCGATACAATGAGCTTGGCAATCACCTAACGTAAGAATTATTGTATTTAACTTATTTTTTTATACATAGTCTACATTTTAGGAAAAAGGATAAATTTTAATTTTTTTCATGCATTGATAATAATTGTTGACCAGAATGATATAATGATAGATAAATTTGATAGAAATAAATGTCAATTAATAACGTTTCAATATTCCATTAAAATTGTTTATATATTTACATTCAGGCCTTTTCGTAAAATAGAAATCGTTATGAGAGCAAGAGAGAAATTTGGCAAGCATAAATATCATTTAATGAAATACAACTGCGAGCACTTTGCGACAGAGTGTAGATATGGAGAGGCTAGAAGCCTACAGGTTTAGCATGATTTCATTTAAATCCTTTAATTACCGGCATAAAATTTAATTTACGTTAGTAAAATATATCATAATGAATTTGTTAAATATGATTAAAGATTTGCGTGTTGCTAGGAATAAGAACCTTTATTTTAGAGTTTTGAAACAAAACGAAAACTCTTAACAAAAAGCCAAAAAGGACACATAATTCTTTTATATAGTTATAGTTCTGTTATAATTATTTAAATAATATTTCTATTGTAATGATTGTGATATCAATATTTTAGAAAAAGAAATGTATTGATGTAACAATAACAAATTTCTTTGACAATTTGGTCTCACGTAACTGATCAATATGTTTATTCAATGCAGGTCGAAAGGTTTTGCGAAAGTTTTTCACTCAATTTGTTTCGAGAAATGCAAGTAAAAGGTAAAATGGGAATTGCAACATGTCCCTTTAAAGAATTTTGTGGATGTTCGACAAACGCTGCAAACGTGCTGTGTTATTTAAATAAAACAATTGCCTGAGATTATCAGAAGAAAGCACTCCTATTTTTTAAGCTAATAATGAAAATATAATGACATTCATTTTCTATACTGTATTGTAACACTATGTTTTGCACAATTTTGTTAAAATATTTATAAACGAAACATAGCTAGCAGGAAATTAAAGTAGTTTTAACTTGTGTAATGTTTATCCTAAACATGGTCTAAGGTTTGAAAAATATAACTCGATATTACTCTGTTAAAGTCTATTAGAATCCTACATATTGCATTAATACGCCAAATTATGTATACATAACTTATGTATACAAATGTTGTCGTTTCCTGTAAACAAATATACCTGATAAAGACTTTTATGTCAAACGTTTTGTTTGTTTTCTTTACAAAACAATACATTACAAAATTTAAACTTTAGTTGATTTCTATATTCACACATACACTTCTAATCTATCTGTCATTTTATATACCTTTTGTAGAATCAGATTCATTAAATAATAGCATGCATGTCTGTTTATAGAAAAATCGTTCCGGCTCTATAATCTGATATGATTAATATGAAAATAAAGAACACTAAACCATTCACGCAGAATTACAATTCCAGATATATTCTCATTGTATTCCTCTTGTTGAATAATGTGCCTAAATATTTAACAGATAATATTGATTTATGGGAAGTCTTTCTCAATTGTATTTTGGTACATAATTAACATAATCCATTCATCTGGTCACACGTTTATTCTAATCGTCCCGACATTGTACCGTTTTAATAAACACGGAATTTTTATCAATTATGTCTTTATCAAAGTAAATATATGTAAAGTCAATAGATCAATTTTAACATATCCATTTTCAATAAAAACTTATTACGGTTGCATAGAAAGACGTAAGAAAGGATTTAATCTGCTCCTTTCAAGCGCGATAGTATAACGGGATCACACGACAGTTATTATGCCTGCACGTTATAACTTTAACACTGCTACGCGATATGTATTACATTCCCGCATGGTATGTTTTACTCCTGCACGTAATAGTATACGTGGCCACACGATTTGTATAAAGAAAGCGATCGCATGTAAAAATATTTTGACATCACTTCATGACTTTTGAGTGTGTACATAATACCAATGGCGTGGCCATGTAATGACATCCCCATGTGATATCTACCGACTGATCATGTTATTTCTATTGCGTGTGTATAAGTAAATCAACAGTTGACTATATCCTATTTATACCACCGTTACAATAAAAACAATAAACGCCTTATGATATATCTATCCGGTTATATGCTTATAATATATCTATCCGGATTTATGTTTATGATATATATATACGGATATATGTTTATGGTATATTTATCCGGATATATGTTTATAATATATCTATCCGGATATATGTTAATTATATATTTATACGGATATATGTTTATTATATATTTATACGGATATATGTGTATGATATATCTATCCGGATATATGTTTTTGATATATCTATCCGGAAACATGTTTTTGATATATTTATACGGGTATATGTTTTTATATCTATCCTGATATATGTTTCTTTTTCGTTTAAAGCTCTTGATCAAGCCTTATACATTTTCTTAGTGTGCTTTTGAAAGACAGCAACACTATAGAGTCATAAAGTAAAGTCTTAATGTTCTTGGAATAAAATTGTACATGGCTTTTTTACTTTTCTATGGAAATAACTTTAATTTTGTTATAAAAAGCATTATAATAATAGCGCATGTTAGACCCAGTTACTTTATCCTTTGGCAAAACACATGCTGTTACACGAAACAAAGTACCAGTGACTGATACTAATGCAAAAAATAGTAAAATGCTAATAAAATGGCCAAATTCTTCAAATTTGAAGTATGCTGTAGCCAACTCACAATTGAAATAAATTTACGTAAATTTGCATACTTTATTTTGATAATGCATTTGTTAGACTAAGTATGGTTGTAATAGGGGACAATAATTTATTGTCATAATTTTCAAGCAAAATGTCATAAGAAATACAAAGTGTAAATGTAAATTAAAATATAAAAAAGACGGAATCCCTCAAGAGCTTCAAAACGACTAAATGGAAAATATTGCAGGTTCGGGTTGAGTGGGCATGTTCTTAGACAACATTGGAAAGTGCACTTTATCGTCCTCGACCTGAAATTCCTGCTTGACTCAGAACATATTATATTTTAATATGTCTTTTTCTGAAAATATGTATTTGAGGGATAGCCAAATTAATCGAATACAGGTCAATTGACGACATTCTTTATTTACGAGTATTCAGCATATTGGTCTATAATACAATAAAATGATCACAAAACGAATGGTGTTGCTAGTCTAGTAACAGCTTGCTTAATTTTTATTTGAAAACATTAATATAAAAATACTCGTTT